ATCGCAATCCTTGTTTTTGCCAGCTACATTAAATGTCAGTTGTACGCAACCACTGCGTGACCTTTGTTCAGCGAGAGTGATCAACCTTGGACTTCGGTCGTAACGCCTACGCTTGGGTGAGTCAAGCATGCATGATACCTTTGCCCGCGGGAGCATTGTGTATCATGAAAAACATAGTGTACAGTCTACGTCCTTGTAGTTGTGGTAGATGTAGCGTAGTTTTCTTCCGATGCCATGAGCGCATCGCGAGAGAGAGCTTGGACTGCTTTAAGCAGCATCGCTCACCGAACTGAAAGACAACATCACGCATCTGACGGCAGCTGACTGATTGCACTTGTTGGCGACTTGTGAGGCTTTTAAACATGTTCATGAACTTTCAACTGAAAACCTGCTCCTTTCTGTCTGAGCAGCTTTTGGCGGGGTGATTGAAATTTCACTCCTTTTGTACCTGTTTTCCTTTTGTGATGGGAAACCGTTTTCACGACATGTCAGTTTGTTTTCCACGTTTATGTTTTGCCTCACGGTTGTCACGTGCATGTCCAGTCATGTTGCTATGATGCAGGCGTTTGATTATCGAGGAAAATTTTCAGAGGAGGAAGAGAGTGATGAGCCCGAAAGGGAGGTGTCAGAGCGAGCCCAGAATTTTGGGGAACAGGGTCGTGTGGCCCCCTTGAGTCCCGCTTTTGATTTCTTTGAGCATAAAAGGACTATGACGGTGCACGTCAGGACTTCCGGATCAACTGCTGCAACTTTTAATTGTGGGCCGAAAATATCCGAGGACTACAGACCCACTAGCCATGCAGTTTTTCCAGATCTCAGGATGTGTAAGCAGTGCCGAAGCAACAAACCGTTGCGCGATGTAGGGGGACTTCTGGCGGCTGTGGAAGCTGCCCGATCCTTCAGGTAATCCTGCTTGTGACATGTGTCATGCGGAGAAATTCCAAGGGCAACAGATGCTGGCATGTGCCATATGGAGCCTCTGGTGCCTGCACACGCTCTTGCAGCCTCAGCGATCGTGTGATCTGGATGCAGCTTTGGCTAGAGGGGATTGGTGCATGCAATCGTTTCGTAATTTTCATGAATCTTCCCAGCATCTTTCAGAAGTGACTAAGTTTGTAGGCTGTGCATCATGGCGTCTGCCCAATCGCTGACCCGCAGTGAAGCTGCCTTCAAGGCCCGCGCCAGCGAGGTGGGGCTGACTGCTGATGAAGTCAAGAAGCTCTTTGATCATGGGGTTACATGTATGGCCAAACTGGCATTTGCAGCATGCCCTCCGGGGCAGAACCCCACCGATGACCAAGTGAACCCCCTGTTTGGCGGCGGCCTCTCCATAGGCAGTCTTGCATCGGCAAAGGAGCTTATCTTTGAATCGCAAACTTTAGTAGTTGCTGAGTTGAAGAACCGGGTCGAAAAAGGTGATGAAGCAGCGTCTGCCTCCATGGCAGCAGCAGAGCGCGACACGAGGATTGCAGAGCAGCGAAAACGCTCGACCGGTCTCACGCGCACCGGGGACGAGGAGTGCAGCTACGAGAGCTACAATCTTGTGCACACAATGATACAGCAGAACACAGTGCTGTATCATCATCCTGAGCGTTTCGCCACGCGCCAGTTTGAACTACAGCAGCGACGGCCCCGTAAGGAGTTGACTTTAGATGCCAAGAGTGGTGTCGTGGTGCGCGACAAAGCCCTTGAATTGAGGTGTGAGACACACACCGAGCTGGAGCTCACACAGGCTTTCAGGCGCCGTGCCCTGGCTTATGATCTCACCGGGGCATGTTCCTACAGTGTGATGAATGCATATCATCATTACCTCATACAGAGGCTTCAGGAGACGCCACCACCAAACTACATGCGCATCACCTCCACGCAGGTGCTTCGCGCTGATCGTGCAGCGTTTACTCGCATAGCTGAGCAAGTAAAGAGCGTGCGGAGGGAGGCGGACGGCACACTCCCGCTGTGCTGGACCCGTCCGTGTCCTTTCATTTGCTGCCTCTAGCATTGGAACGAAATGCACCGCCACCTGACGGCAATGCACACAAGCGCACTTTTGACCAGATGCGAGGTCAGCAAGGCGGGCGCAAAGGCAAGCAAGATCGTTCCTGGAAGGGCGGCAAAGGCCCTCGCGCGCCCAAAGAGCTCATTGGCAAGGCATGGACCGCTGCGCGGGGGAAGCGTCTCTGTTGGGATTTTAACTTGGCTAAAGGTTGTGACGGTGCTAAGCCCGGCCAAGCTTGCCCCAAGGGCCTTCACCTTTGCGCCGAACCGGGCTGCCAGAAGCCACATGGCTTGACCCAGCATTCTTGACAAACTCTGCGATGTGTGCAGGAGCCCTCATTGCCCCCTCCGCGACAGCGGTTTCATGGGCAACAAGCCAGCTCCTTGCTCACTTTGGAGATTTGTGCAGGTTCATGCCGCCTCAGCGCTTGTCTTAAGCAGCTAGGGTTGCAGAGTTTTGGGGTCGATAATTTTTCTGAACGCCCTGCTGCGCCTTTAATTCACTTGGACTTGACTACCGAAGCTGGCCAGAGTCACATGTGGTCCATACTGCAGGAACGCAACCTATGTTTTGTGCATCTCTCCCCGCCAAACACCACGGCCGGCCGTGCCCGCAAAAGGCAACGGGCCGGAGCCCCTCCTGTGTTTTGCGTACGCAACGGCATCCTGACGGTTTGTCGGGCCTGCCGGCTGCTCAGCAGACCCGTGTGCGGAGAGAGAACGACATTTTTAATTTTTGCGCCAAGGTTTGTCGATTTTGCCATGAACGCTTGATTTTGTTTGCGTTGTGAAGCCCCAGCCAACAGCTTTTTGTGGGACATGCCTTCTTGGAAATCCCTCTTTCGTGATGTCCCGCACCTGTGCAGCCGCGTTGAGCAGTGCATGTTTGAGCACGGCGGTCGGCGCACTTCCCTCATCATTCACAATGTTGCTGCCTTTCACTGCTTGGAGTCGACTTGTGACGGCTCCCATTCACATGACTCTGTGCGGCCGGGTCGGTCTGGAGTATACCCTTGGCCTTTTGCCAGGGCTATAGAACACGCCGTGCGGCAACAGCTGATAGCTTGGGGCGTTGCTTTGCCTGCCGACCGCCTTGAGTTTCTTGATGACATGATCCGAGCCTGCCGGGCATATGCTGGTGTCCAATTCCGCAAGAAACTGCCGCCTCTTGTTCCTGAATTTCGGCAGGTCCTTAGACTTAAAGGCAAATTTCCCGCTTTTGCCACCCGCGTGTTTCGGGGGAGGGTCGTGTGTCGCTACGTCCAACGGAGACGAGGAAATGGCAAGTGCTGCACCCGGTGAATCTCTCCAGCAGCCGACACAGGTGATAGGGGATGACTCCGCGTGTGATACTACAGGTGATCCCATCCAGCAGCAGGTTTGTGATGCGTCTGCAGGCGATACTACAGGTGATCCCGTCCAGCAGCAGATTGGTGAGGTACCCGCAGGTGATACTACAGGTGATCCAGTCCAGCAGCAGAGTAGCCGGGATGACCGTGTGCACCCAGCTGAGCAGTTGGCCGAGACACTTCTTTTCCGTGGTCGAGAGAGAATTCGTAGGGAGGACGTGGACAAGCTCCTGGATCTCCTACCTGACACTGACATGCAAAGGGGGGATCGGACCGAGGCGCGAGGTGATTCGTCCAAGTGCTTCATCTCAGGTGCGTATGTTTTCAGTTCGATGGCAGGGCTCAGGAAAACTTCGCACGACTTCCCGCTTGCTACAAGATGCCTCACCAGGTACTTGCGTCAGCTCGATTCGCGTCACTTGTTTGCGACGGTAGCCTTGTTTCGTAACCTCAAAGCGAAGCCTCATGCGGACGTGCATAACCGTCAGGGGGTCCTTGAATCTCATTGCTCCCATCAGCCAATTCTCAGGAGGTCAGCTGTGGGTGGCTGACGACAACGGTGTTGTGGATAGGTTGGTTGATGGGGAAATGTGCAGGGGCTCCCTTCTTGATGTGGCATCAGGTCCTTGCACTTTTGATCCAACCCGTCACCACTCTACCGAGGAGTGGACAGCGCAGCGTCATAGTGGGGTTCACACCCAGGAACCTCGAGGCGCTATCTGAGGCGGACCGCACCGCTCTGTCCGGGTTGGGGTTTCGCTTGCATGCTAACGCCGTTGCGAAAGGCCCCACTTGCACGGCAAAGGTTCCGGCGATGGTTGAAGGTGAGGCAGACCTAGGGGTGTACCGCACACCCCAAGAGTTCCTCGAGGAAGCACTGAAGGCCAAGCATCCTAGCCACCTCGATGCCTTGATTCCTGAGGACCTCATGGATGCAATCAGGTCTCATGTGGAGCTTAGTGAGGAGGCCCTGTCCCGCGTGAGAACCGAACGCATTCGGGAGTGGATATCCTGGGCGCAGGACTTGCAGGCACACGAGGACATGCTGAAACAGGACCTGCCAGCCCATCGCAAGTTGGTGCTGGGCAAGAAGCGCCTTTGCCTCTTCAAGCGAGTGTTGCAGCAAGCAGACCACGGCGACGTTAGTTTGGTCAATGACATCACTTCCGGTTTTAGCTTGACTGGGCGGCTCCCCGAAGCCGGCATTCTCAGGTCAGACTTCCGTCCCGCTTCGCAACCGGTGTCTCTTTTGCGTGAAGGAGCGAAGCGATCGAAGGAAGCAGTCTTGGCAGAGCGCGTGCCGTCCGAGTCAGATATAGTGGACCGGGGCGTGGAGGAGGCAACTTTGAAGGAGCTGGAGAAAGGCTTCATCGAAGGCCCCTTCGATGCGCCAAGCTGAGGAACGGCTTTTCAATCTTGAGGCCAGATTGCATCGTCTCGAATCGGCGACGGGCTCCCAGCAGCTTCTGCAGGCCCGCCTGAACACTCTTGCTCTTCGCTTGGATTCGTTCGAACAGGAATTGGCCGCTGCTCAGGCACAGCTCACAGGCTCTCACGGCATCTCTCTTCGTGCCGAGGTAACTGTGCTCAGCAACATTCTGTCTGCGACAGTCGGGTCGGTCAATCGCCTCAACCCGGAGTTGCTGCGCTTACTTGCTTGGAAGGATCGCTTCACGTCCACGCTTCAAGAGGAGCTTCTGTGCATCGGCCACAGGTTTGCACAAGCTTGTCCGCCGCTGGAGGTGTCCGCGTTGGATGCCATGGACTGAGGCCCATCTCCTGCTTGCGCCGCCCCTAGCCCTTTCCGGCGTCCCCTCTTTAGCCCGTGTAGGCGCAACTTCCTTACATGCTATGAGATATCAGACTTCGCTCCGCTGGCTATGTGAACAGTTCGCCTGCATTGCTAGGGGTTTGCCACAGGCTCATTTTCATGTTTTTGAAGCTGTCATGTCGCATCTGAAGTTTACGGCCTCAAGAACCCTTTGCTGCGAGTCCTTGGCACGGCATGGCTGAGAACGAAGAATGGGATCGGCTGGCTCGCAACAGGCTGCGGCGAATGTCCGTAGATGCTCTCACGACTGCCCCCAACATCACGGCCTTAGCTCTCCCTTGGGAATCGGGCCTGCTTGCAGCTGTGTTTGGCAACGAAGAGGTGTTGCCTAGACCCGCCCCGGACATTGAGGATGTCTTGGAAGCAGCCTCTTGCAGGCCTATGGCGCCGGAGCCTGTTGATGTTCCTTGTGATCAAAAGCGTGCTTTTTCTGCTGCTTGGAACAAAGACTCTTTCCGCAGAGATCGTCCAGGAGTGGCTTCAAGTGGTGCTGCCGTGGGCGGGAATTACGGTCCTCGGTATGATGCTCTCTGCTGCTGCGGATCAGGCTGAGAAGATTGCGATTGTCACTCAGACATTGGGTGGCAAAGCTTTGTCCACCCTGGAGAAACGCAGCTTTCCTGGCTTGGGCTTTGCTTTGTGGGGCGACTCCATTCCCATTGACCGAGCATGTGTGTCGCATGTACTTGAAGAAATTGGTTCAGGAAAATGCACCTGCATCGAGGATCAAAGGAGTGTTGGAGCTTGTCGCCTTCCTCAGGCATGTGGTCGGGCTGCCAGTTGCGGAGAATGCCGGGGACTCACCTTGGATTCGAGGCATCCTGAGGTCAGCGGCTGCCAATGCCAAGCCAACCTCGAAAGCGAGGCCCCTCACCGTTGGCGAGGTCAGTGCCCTGGAAGAGTTCGTTAAACGAAAGCAAGGGGCTTTGCAGGATGTCTATGCGGCCGGGTGTTTCTTGTACTTGATTTATTCTAGGGCAAGATTTGGCGATTGCAAGATCATCTCCAACGTCTTCTTCGACTTGATCAAGAAATCAGGTGATGTCGTCGGCTATGTCGAGGTAATCTCTTGGTCGCACAAGATGCGTCGACACTTCCCTTCGATCCCCCTGGTAGCACCCGTCCAGGGTGCAACAAAAGGGTCGTGGGTCGAGCGCTGGCGAGCCGCTGCTGCAGAGGTAGGCCTCCCATTTGAGAGGCTTCAGGGCGATGCACGAGGGCCGTTGCTCCCCCTCCCAAGCAAAGGGGGGTGGCACTCGGCCAGTTGCTCCACGGCCGAGGCGCGGGCATGGCTGTCGCAGCTGCTGGTCAATCTTGGGCACACCAGCGGTACCACCGTTGGTGCCCACTCATGTAAAGCAACATGTCTTTCATGGTGTTCAAAATTTGGCATATCTAAAGAGGTTCGGACGAGGCTGGGAAATCACAACGATCGAGGCTCGGCTGAGTGCTATGGGCGCGACACCTTCGCTGGTCCGCTCCGAGACCTGGAGGGCTGTGTGCTTGCGATTCGCACGGGTGCTTTCTTACCTGACATGTCGCGCAGCGGATATTTTCCAGCCGATGCAAGCAGCCGAACAGGTGGCTCGTCGAGCCCCGTCGAGGCGGCTGATGTGGGCGTCGCAAATTCATTCGTGCTGCCTGCAAGCGATCCTGTTGGGGAATCTTCATGCGGGTCCCCGGGCCCCTTGATCGAGCCGGCGAGCCCCAGCCTCGAAAGCAATCAACATGGCGATCACTTGACGGTGCGCAGCCCTGCCACTCCAGAGAATGACGCTGCTCCGCGGCCGGAGGATCAACCCAATGCTTCGGAGTCTTCCAGCTCGTCGACCTCGTCTTCTACAGACTCAGAAGTTGAGTCTGAGCCGGGGCCCCATCTCGCCGCTCTGGAGGCCCCAGAATGGCGCTCCGAGTGCGAAGTATGGCAGCATCGGCAGAGTCGCACGGTTCATCTGTTGCCAGTCGCTGATGCTGATGCCGGCGCCTTTGTTTGTGGTCGTGCTAAATCAAAGGCTTATACTTCAGGGTTACTGGTCATCCTATTGTCGAGTCGCTCAAGTGTGCGCAGTGTGATCGTGGTAAAACCATCCGCAGCACGGCGCAACTTGTGCATGTTCTTGAGAAGAAGCGGCGGACTTCATGAGTTTGCTGCGGCTCGGCTTATGAGCTCGAGGCGAGAGCTCCGATACGTCGTGAGATCCGTCTTGCTGCCATGATGCTGACCTCACAGGCCCTAGTGTTGGGGGTCGCTTTTAATGTTTTCCATTTCACATGATGTCTGAGGGCTTGACTTAAAACGCAAGCGTCCGGATGCAGTTTTGGCACTTGCACGGCGGCGTCAACTTTTGTAAGTTCGCCAGCTGTGTGCTGAGCAGCGATGTGAGTACCGCGAACAAACGGACTCGTTGCCGCTTTGCGTGCCTCTCTGCTTGAATCGCCTTGTGCCTTGCAAGTCCTATGTGGTGCACGCTGCAGTTTTGCTTAAGGAACCTGCCGCGTCCTGGTTCCGTACTTAGGAGTCCTGCCATGTCTGGTGCATCATTGCTAGATTCCAAGGCCGCTTTCAAGGGGAAGGTGCTGGACTATGGTCTCCCGCAAGTGGTTTTTGAGGGCATTGTGCGGCGCGGCGTTGACACGCTCAGCAAAGCCGCTTATGCTGTCGGTGCGCCCGGTGTCTTACCCTCCGAAGATGCACTGAGGGCCTTCTTGAATCCTGATGATCCAACGGTCGTTGAGCAAGGGCAGGTTGCAATTGCCAGGCGTCTTGTCTTTGAAGCTCAAACACTTGCTGTCAGCCAGCTCCGCCAGCAGATCGAAGGCCCGGACGAAAAGCGGCAAGACCTGCAGCCAGCTGAGAGGCGTTTCAGGCTTGTCGAGCAAGCTCGTCGATTGCAGGGCATGGTGCTGCGAGGACCGCTTGAGTGCGCATTCTGTTGCTACACTTTGGTCATTCGCATGTTAGCTGCAGACGAGATCACCTACTTAGCCCCCAACCGATTCACTACCCGGGCTCACGAGGTACAATTGCACAAACCACCTAAAGAGGTGGTCATAGATTCCACGTCTGCCATCAGAGTGCGCGACTCTTCTGAAATTGCCGACACCTGCCATCTCCCTGATGCCCTCAGCCTCTCTCAAGCCCTCACCCGCAGGTCGCTCGCGTTGGATTTGTGCGAGGCTGCCACATTCTCCGCGTCCGAGCGCTGGCATGCCGAACTGCTGCGCCACCTGCAGCAGTCCCCACCAGTTGAGTACAAACAGGTTGACATCATGCAAATTTTGCGGGCCGATAGAGCTGCATGGACGTCCATGGCCGAAAAAGCCAACTCACTGAAGAAGCGTGCAGACGGGTCGCTGCCCATGGATGACCTGTTCGACGCCCTGCCGGCATCGTCGGAGGTTATGATGTTCCTGCTGCCTTTGCCTGGCGGCACCCCCCCCACCGGACCGGATGCGTTGACCCCTAATCCAGCTGATCCGCCTGCTCCGCCTAAAAAGTCTCGCACCAAGGCTCGCAGGGATCGCCAGAAGCAGTGTCTGCAAGAGGCATTGGCGCAGGCCGCGACGTCCACAGCGCCCGTCCAGCACTCTCCACAGCAGTTCCCGCCTAAGCCTCCGCAGCCCCAGCCTCATTTGCCGCCCACGCCCCCTGCACCTGCAAACAAAGGCAAAGGCAAGGGCAAGCGCAAAACGCGCCAGTCCTGAATGCATGGGGCGCCGCTCCCGCCAGAGGCTGTTGCGAGCGATCCTTTTGTGCGTGCACTTCAGCCTCGCATCTGCGGCAAGCCCCTTCAATCTTTGCTTTTCGTTGAGGTTTTCGCGGGCTCGGCTCGCCTCGCTGCTGCTGTACATAAAGCCGGGGTAGGCAGTGTCTTTGGCGTCGACTGCTGGACTCCAAGGTCTGCACCTGCTCCCATTGTCAAGCTTGACTTACTTTTGGAAGAAGATGTTCGCGTTCTCTTCATGTTGCTCGCCAATCGGGCTTTAGCTGCGGTGCACTTGGCACCGCCCGCGTCCCTGCCATCCCGTGGTGGGGTTCCGCTGCGTTCCTCAGATTTTCCCGACGGTGTGCCGGCTTTGCCGTGTTCTGAGGCACAGAAGGTCCTCTCGTACAATCGGCTCTATGCCCTCCCCTCAGTTATTTTCTTTCGAGCTTTTGAGGCTGGCATCGTTGCGACGCTGGAAAGCCCCGTGTCCAGCTACTTCTGGCAAACCAGTGTGTGGCTGCAGACTGAGCAATCCATTCCTTCGCTCTCCTTTGCCACTTTTCACACTTGCATGTTTGGTGCAACTTTCAAACGTCACATTCGCATCGCATACTGCCACCCTGCCTTTCATGTCTTACAGGTCCCGTGCGACCATCAACCTCTGCATCCGGCCCACTCGGCGCCGCGGGAACCGGTTTCTGCCTACCCTGCCAAATTTTGCCAGGCATATGCTGCCGCGCTCACAGAAGCCTTGCTTGCACTTGGGGCCGAGTGTGCGGCTACCGCCTTGCCCCACCTGGTGGATCCGCATCTGCAGTCTCGTGTTGCAGTCGGTACGCAGCCGCGTGGCAAGAAGCTCCCTCCGCTTCTGCCGGAGCACAAAGCTGTCTTGTTAAGATTTGTACATGGGAGCCTGTATAGTCTTGTATAGTATCCCACACCTTTGTTGGAGCCCGATAATATTCATGGCTACGGAGCGCTTTTGGCCCAAGTGAGAAAAGAGTGTTGCCACTCAGGATCTCACAGTTTAACTTGGTAGCGGAGCAGAGCCTGAAGATCCAGGAATCCGTGGGACGGAAGGAAAGTACTGGACACCAAGTAAAGGATCAGTATCAGAGAGGATGAGTATGGAAAGGATCCTGCCGAAGATGCACAAGGACCTTTTGGGAATTGTATCAGTGCTCTGCATGGTTTGGTGCGGATGTCTAGGAGTAACAGAAGGACACCCAGTAGTGGCCAAGGAAAGTTTGTATCACCTTGAATTTGTTCCGCAGCCGTACTCCCTCGAAGAGGAAGTCAGGAACTTTGTATGGGGAACTGGGTTCGAGGCCTAACCGTGTGTGGGGTTCCAGG